ATTTCATTAAGATGTTTCTTAAAATTTAAAAATAATAATATTGGTAACAAAACTAAATGATTGTGTTAGAATGTCATCTTTAAGACATTTAAACATGCCGGTGGAGAACAGTTCAGTCAGATACCGTAGTTTGGTTCGAGCGCCTAACGAGCCGCTCGTCAAACCCCACTTTTGTTTTCTCTACCATGTAGGAGCGCAAATCTTTGCAAACAAAAGTCTGCATGGTCTCTGTTATCTTTAAGTTCTGTGGAGAGTCAGCTGTAATGTTAGTGATTCCTTAGTTTCTTTTGTTTTGATCCAGACAACTTGTTATCAAAAGCTAATGCTAGCACTGAACGTCAACCGGAGGTAAACATACGTCAAGCCAGGAGTGACAAAATATAAAAACGCTCCTCAGACGCGTGCACAAGACGGCATGGGGAAGAATCGATCTCATGCCTTTTCAATCAATTTTCCCAAATTTAAATGAAATCAATCCAAGATTGATGAAATCAATTTTTTTTACCCAGCCCTGGCAATGGTGCTACAGAGGTTGTTGGTTTTGTAGCATGCTGTGGCTTCACCTGTTGCATCTTCCTTGCAAAAAAAAAGTAACTTGCAGAGCTGTAGTGTCAGTGCTACATAAAATAAGTATTTATAACAGAGATTGTTTTTATGTCACACTGTACAGCCCTGCCAATGACACAAAGCTTGTAAAAAATGACCCAGTAGTTCCTGAAATATTTGGGGTTAAAATAAGCAGATATGCCCATTTTATCCAAAACACCACAACTTTGACGGCCTTTTCTCTGGAACCACTGGTCTGACTGACCTGAAATTTTAGAAGTGATGTAGGATCACAATGAACAAATATGCCAACAAATATAAATTTCATCCAAAAATTAGAGACGGTCGGATTAAACCCATTGGGTGATTTGGTGTGAAATGACACTTTTCTGCTTGTGTATAAACATCAAAAAGCACTGACCTCTTGGAAGACATGCTGTGCTTTAGCAGCTGATGTGCTGTCAAAGTTGAGACTGATCCGCTCACACCATTTCAGGAGGTCCCTGGTAACAGGAGACATCAACACAAACAAAGTGAATGAATGAATGATTTTATTTGTTTGGGACAGTGTGCAATTAAAACATAATTGATGCATTGAACCAGATTTAGCCTGAGGCTAACTTACATCTGTAGTCCCATCAAACAGTAAAAACAAAACAACATCCAACAGTAAAATAGAAATGAGAGGAAAAAATAGAAAAAGAAAAATAATATAAAATAAAACATTTTGCAATTAAAAAATACATAACACCCCCCACCCCACCTC